AGACCCCAATAAAATGATTAAAAAAACGAAGAAGAAGTGAATTTTGGTACTAGTTTTCTTTCCATTATGAAGATCCATATGACATCTTTTCTTTTCATCTAGAAGTATATTTGAAATCTTAAAAGATTCATCCTCTGCCTTTTATTTCTAATTTAACTGCACAAAGGAGACTGAGGCTACATGATACCCAGTCTATGGCATCTGTTGAGACTTGCCTGGAGACATAAACGTGACCATTTTGTAAATGGTCTGTGTATATTTTCTCTAGTGGTTGGATGCATTAGCTCAAGTTTTTTATTTCTGTTGTTCAGGTCCTCTATAATTTTTGCTAATCTTTCATCAGCTTGATCCATTAATTACCAAGAGTGATATGTTAAAAATCCCTCACTGAGACTGTGGAGTTGTTGATTTTCCCTTATTGTTTTCCTTACATATTTTGAGGCTATATAATTTGGTGCATGCAAGATGAGAGTTGTTACATATTCCTGGCAAATTGTTCCTTTTGCTTTTATGTTGTGGACCTCTTTATTCCTCAATAATACTTTTTTATTTTGTTCAATATTAATATAAATATATCAATTTCTTTATGATAATATTTGTCTATATACCTTTTCCACCCCCTTTTCTTCACTCTCCTTGGAGTACTGTAAATACCAATATAGCTATATTTTGTTTCTTTAATGAGCTGACCATCTGTCTTTTAGCTAGTGACTTTAGTCTACCTCCAATTATCATGATTTCTGATCATCTGAATTCATGGCTACATTTTATTTTGTTTTTCTGATTTTTAAATGTCGTTTACTTTCTCATTTCCTGCCTTCTATTAGATTACATTTTAAAAAATTCTCCATTTTCTGTTCCAGGGAGTTGGCAATTAGGATAGACTATTTATAACCCTTTAGTAGCCATTACACAGAGGCTTAAAGTAATAGTTGAAAGTAATTAATGCTTACATTCTGTGGTAGTTACATAATCTGCTGTCAATTTGAGAGGATTAAGAGTGAAGGGGTGGCGTTTAGCCTGTCAATCTGGTGGCAGTTTGATGACCTCATTTGGAGGCGTTAAAGAGTTAAATAGCTTGCTGGAGGGAGGATGCAGGTTCAGTTTCTATGAGACATTCTTGTTGACAAGCCACATGGAGACAGGCTGATGGCAGAGTCTTGGACTTGGAGAAGCCCTGTGGAGACCCCTGCCAGCACTGAGATGCTCACAGTGCCACTGGATCCACAAGACATCCCACCCAATGACCTGTGATCATCCTGCACTTGGCATCATTGCATGTGTTTTGTGAGTCTGAAGAGGACTTTATAGATTGGTATTGGACATATGGGCTAATTGATCTGGACTGGGCTGGGATGTTTTCTCAATATTCACTTGCTCTTGTATATAAAGCTCTTTCCTATACACATGAATGTCTATGAATTTGTTTCTCTAGTTCACCCAGACTAACACACCTTCCTATCTTACATGTAATTATTGCCCAGTATTTTTAGTCTACCTTTTCGTACCCTTAAATTAGTCCTCATTATTTTAAATAGTCAATACTCATTTTAACGTTAGTTAAACCCACTTCAGTGCATTCTTTAATTACAGATCTTTCTTCAGCGATCATTTGTTTCTCGAGAAATCTAACCTCTCGTCTTGAAGTACAATCCTGAGTGGCTTTAAGGGGACAATCTGTTTGTGGCACACTCTTTTGGTTTTTGTTTCAGAACATCGTGGTTTACACGTCTCCTTTTGAATGGCACGTTGGCTGGGGAAGGAACCCAAGGTTACCCAGTGTCTTCTCCGGGCACTTTACAGTTATCAGTCCACTGCTTTCTGGATCCGACTGACGCTAGTGTGGGGTCTCTCATTCATCTGATTGTTGTTCCTTAGTAGATACACTTTCTTCCTTTCTGTTTCGTTGCTTTATGATGTCTTTGCCTTTGGTGTTCAAGAGATTCATCACGACACATCTAGATAGATTTATTCTCATTTTTCCTGCTAGGGACGTATTGTAATTCCTGAATCCAAGTGTTTATTTCTTTCATCAGTTCTGCTATTCTCTCTTTAAATATTCCCTTGCCCTCGTTTCCTCTGGTAACTTCTATAGCTGTGACTGACCTTCTTGTTCAACTCCATGCCGCTTGGCCTTTACGCCATGTATTCCACCTCTCCGTCTCTATGAACTGCATTCTGGGAGTCTCCCTCAGCTCTTAGCTTATATTCTCTTCACTCTCCCCTAGCTGTAATTAATTTGCTATTTATTTGGTACATTGAGATTTTATTTCCAGTGACTACATTTTTCACTTTCAGAGACTTTATTGGTTCCTTTTCAAAGCTGTCTTCTTTTTGTGTTTTAATTATCTTTTCTCCTCTTAAGTCATTATAAATATTCATGTTTTAAAATTAAAATTTTTTAAAAAATATTCATGTTTTAACATCGCTAGTGAGCAGCTCTGTGATGTGGCATTCTTAGGGAGATAAGCCTGATTTTGTGTGTGAGCGTGTGTATTCTTGTTCGTGTTGGACAAATAATATTACCTTGTATGTTTTGTAATCTGGGGAATCCAGCTTGGCTTAGATAAATGTTATGTCTTGTCAGAGAATTTTTGTTTCAGCCTCTTTCTGAGTCCTCAAGATATCCCATTAGGATTATTTTATTTTTAAAATTTGGGAGGCACAAGTTCCAAGAACACTTAAGACTAAATCTGACCTCCAGTTGTGGGGAAGGGCATAGCTACCTATTACACTTTCTCTCGGTTCTTCGAAGTTACTATCTATTGCTCTCTGAGTTCTGTAGAAGCTACTATGAGGCCACAAACTTCCAGAGTTACATTTGCTTGTGTGTTTCGTTCTCCTCTACACTCTTCTGTATACTTTCTCCCATGACAGGGTGTGGGTTAGGGTTTGGTGCTGTGGATAGCCGTTTTGATGAAGTTTTGGTCATACCCACATGAACCCACTCAGTTCCAACCCCTCTGCCTAACAACGTGCTGTTGAATACAGAACTAAAGCCCACAGATGAACAGAATTTCCAACCTACCTCCCGGACCCTCACAGTAACTGTCCCCCTAAACTAGGACAACTACAGACTTGGTTTACATGTTTATTGCTATGGGTTTTGACTCCTATGTGTTTGGCACTTGGAGATTTGTCCTACTCTCTTGGGAAATAGTTATGCATTTTAAAGAACATTTTCTATGCTTCATGTATTATTTTTAATTCTTTCATAGTGGGAGGTTTTTAAGGTTTTCTTGTCCATAATATCACTAGAACCAGAAGACTCGTTTGCCCTTTATCTCTGTTTAAACAATGGGCTGGCATTTAGTCAAATCTATCAATTAGATCCTTCATGGAATGTGTGTATTCAGTGATATGCCTCTACCAAGATTTATTTACCAATGCTGATTATAATGACTTCTTTTATAACTAAATACTTAAGCCACTTAGAATATATTAAATGCAAGAAAACACATTTTTACTTATGAGCAATAAACCTGTCCAAACAGAACAAAGTATAGCTATAGCCCAGCTACATGACCTGTTACCAATAACTGAGCCACAAGAGTAACACATCTGCAATTCAATCAAAACTTAATGATCCAGCGAAGCCAGCAGGGCAATTCATCACACTTGACTTGCTGCTCAATCCAGCCCAACAGCCACATTCCAATGAAACCGTACTTGACGGAAGCCTTACATAAGCATCATCTGAAGGCCACCCAATGTGTGTCAGGAACAACTGTGCTTTGAGGCTCTGATAGAGTGAAATACAGCTTTCCCTTCGGTTTGTGTATAGAAGAGGGGGGCGTGTAGGATTAAAGCGAACGCTATTTGTGAAAAGGTTTAAATAGACTTTGCAAAGAACTATCTAGAGCTCTAGGTTTAAAGTATGGAGAGGAGACAATCTTCATAACTCTACAGTGTGGGAGACTTGTCTGCCAGTCCTGTGGGTGTTCCTGAGCCAGTGGACCCAAGACAAGCTGGCTCTGTAGCCGGTGAGCTTAAATCAGAGGGATAGAGGCCCTCCTCGCCCCACCACCTCTCAGCACTGACCCCGAAGCTCCTTCCTGAGACTACAGGGAGACCTTGGAGAAGAACTGACTTGTGTGTTTGACTGGATGGGGCCGACAGGGCTCCTGCAAGTCTAGTTTTGTCACCACAGCCTTATCCTCTCTGAGCCTCAGTTTCCCCACATAAGAGAGGCAGGATTTGATTCAATCTCCATTCCAAAAAAAAAAAAAAAAATCAGACCAAAAGTCTAGATCTTCTGGCTTTAGGGGTTAGTCTCTCTAATAACAACAATGACAACGGTAACCACAGCTACCCTTTATTTTGAGCATTTATTGCTTATCCAACTCTGAGCCAGGCACATTACAGACATTATCTTATTCCGTCCTCATTAGTTTCCTCTGAGGCTGATACTGTCATACTAATTTCACATTGATTGAATTTAACAAATACTCATTGTACCAATTACTCGGTAATTGGCTTGAGGTCACGTAGTAAGCGCTGAGTCAGACTTTAAACTCAGTTCTGTTTACTCACTCTACCCATCCATCAGACTTTGCACCGACCACCCCTCATTCAGCAGCCACCCATCCCTTTCTCCCAGCCCAGAAGCATGGGGGGTGGGTGGGTGGGGGGGCCGCTAATAACTCTGCCATCTCCGTCAGTAAGCAGGCTGTCTCTGCATGCACTACCCCTCACCACCCGCAACCCACCTGAGAATTGCAAACTCTCATGTCCACCCATTTCAGGCTGGTCCCAATGCGCCCGCTGTTTTTCAGCCCCTAGACATCCTCCTAAACCTTGATCTCCAACCTGCATCCCAGTTCCCCTCTCTCTCAGCTCCTGAAAAAGCTGACTCGGAGACATTCTCTTACGAGAGGCCTTCATGGTAAATGCCCACTTTCCTAAGATCCCTTTGTGCTCAGGGTCCCTCCTCCCTTACCCATGCAGGGACCTTCCCGGCGGGGGTGCCCATTGGTGAGTCAGCTGCCAGAGGCCCTTACCAGGTTCCCGACCTGCAGCATTTCCTCGAACTCCGTGGTCATGTTGTAGTGCTCCAAGGCCATAAAGAGCGTGTTGAGCACGATGCACATGGTGATGGTGAGGTCCGCGAACGGGTCCATGACCATGAACTTCACCCCCTGCTTGATGGACATCCACAGTGGGCAGCACTCCCAGACCAGGTAGCGCTGGGCAAAGCGGTTCCAGCATGGCGGGCACTTGCGGTGGGACTCCTCCAACTCTGAGAAGGGCCGGGGGAACAAGCTTTAGTTGAGTGGCCCCCGTCTCTAACCGACGGTGTTCTTGGGCTGCTACGGGACAGGGAGATGACGGGAGGCGCAGGGAGGAAGAGGGGGAGTGAGCTCTCTTCTGGCTCCTGACCCTGGAAAGATGAGAGAAGGGGGACACAGGGATTGGAGACCAGGGGGCATGCGAGGATCAGTGAGAGATGGGCTGGCTTGAGGCCTGGGCCCCCCACAGACAAAGGATGCTCACGTGTGGGGGCACATGTGTGAAGTGGGAAGGATAAGGAACGGATGCCCCGGGAAGCAGAGGTAGCCACAGATGTGGACATCTGGGATGTTTCAGGACATTTGGGGTGTATCCAGAAGACATATGTCTGGGGCAGACGGGAACAAGATAGCGGAGTTCCAAACTCAGACTGGAGCAGATGTGCTAGACAGACATGGGATGCTTGCTGGGATAGAGCCAGGAGCTAGGAAACAGAGCTAGGAGAGGCTGGGAAGAGGCTAAAACAGGAAGGGGGTGTTTAGGACCAAGGACGGAGTAACGTGCTAAGAGGACGGGCGGTGGGAATGGTTGGAGAGGCTGACGATGGTGAGACCTCATCTCGCCTACCTTGGACATGTTGTCAGGTAGGACCAGCCCCTGAAGAAGGACATCATGCTTGCTTGGGAGGTTAGTGAGAAAGAGGAAGGCCCTTAAGGAGCCAGCTGACACAGTGGCTGTGACAATGGGCTGGAGCCTAGCAAGGGTCTTGAGGGTGGCCCCAGGCCTGGCAGGTTGCTGTCTGTGGTCTGTAGGTGGCAATTGGGAACTGACTGGAGAGTAACTCAGGGCAACAACCACCCGTGGATGTTAACAAATTGGGGACAGAATGTCTCCTGTTATGTGAAAGAGGGCCTATGGGTGGGGTGGGGGCGGGTAGGATGCCCTTTTAACCCTAATCACTTTGAGATCTACAAAGAGCAGAATGATATGCAAAATTTAAAAAATGTGCTTGAATCAATGGATGGATGGATGGTGATAAGAGCTGTCAGAGCCCCCAATAAAATGATTAAAAACAAAAAGAAAGAAAGAAACCCAGAAGCAGTTCTACCCTGTCCTACGGGGTCTGAATGGACTTGACCGCAGTAGGTTTGAGATTTTAACAAGAGAGAATAGTTAAGTTCCTATATTTTACTAATGAAAAGTGTCCCCTTGCGAACGCAAAACAAAGAAATGGAACACACTGCTACCGAGGCGATGCAGACGCATCGGACCGTATACAGCGCAGGCGGGGAAACGGCCCTGGGAGTTTCGGAGCCTGTAACTGTCCACGGGAGTAGAAAGCCTGTCTTTCTCCCGAGGAGCCAGTGGTGGTTTCGAACTCGCGGATTGCCACCCAGGGCAGCGCACAGGAGCACACAAGTGGGGGACGACTGAAGCCCTGTGGGCATCACCAAGGGAGGGAGAGAAGCCGAAGATGACCAGAACCTTGATCCAGATTCAGGGGAGAGAAGGGGGCTGGGGTGGGAGGGCAGGAGGGAGTGGGTGGGTGGAAAGAGAGAGAGAGAGACCCTCTCAGAGTTGGGATCCTCCTTTTTCAGCCTTCCACCCTCCTGAACTGTGAGAAAATAAACTTCTGTTTGTTCGAGTCACCCCGCGTGTGGTATTTCAGTCATAGGAGACACTGGGCCCAGCTGGGCAGACCCCATGTGGGGGAGGCCGGGCCGCAGCCGGGGGGACTGACCTTCCAGCGCACTGGTGAGGATGCTGACTGCACTGAGGGCCCGCTGTCGCTCTCCGGGCTCCTCGAAGCCGTCCACGCCCGGGGCCTGGGGGGTCAGCATCTGGGGCCCGCCTGGCTCCTCCGAAGGTGTGGTCTGTGTGCAACCAGGCAGTCTGTGTCAGCAGGGGGCGGCAGTCCTGCCTTAGAGCCTAGTTCTGCCGGGCTCCCTGGGACTGGCTCAGACTCAGGCCATGGAGGCCAACGGGGCAGGGACGGAGACAGAATGGGGATCTTGATGGGACACTGGAGGCCGGGCTGCTTCATGTCCAACTCCCTCCCAGCCAACACCCCTACCCCCACCCACCCAACCCAGCCACGCTCAGCCCTGCCCGCTTCCCTTTGCCTCCCCACCTCTCACCAGGGTGACTACTAAGTGTGGCCAGGGTCCCTGCAGGAACGAAGTTTTTCTCTCCACCAGGCCCTCCCTGGGCAGATGCTGCCACGAATATTAATACATGCAAAAAATGATCTGGGAGTCTTAATTGACCACAAGTTCCCCAGAGGCCAGGGCACCAAGAAGCTGGGAGAGAGGGGGAAACACAAAACAACCCAGCATGCTCTATTGGGACATTAATAGAAACATAAAGCACTGAGGCTTCGCCGCGGCTCGGGGAGCTTTTGTGGAGGCAGGCTGGCTGTATCCACCAAGAAAAATGTTTACATTGGCCCTGCAGTTGCTCATCTGGTAATCTAACTTCATAAATAATTACACATGTGCACCAAAAATACGGGGACCGTGATGCTCGCTGCGGCACATCCCCTACTACTATCAAAATGGGCCTCAATCAATCAATAGGGAGAATGTGAACATCAGTGATGGATGTGCTTCCACTCTGGATGAGAGCTCAGGAGAGACAGAGAGAGAGAGACCGGGAGTGCGGGGGAGGGGGGGATGGGGACTGGCCCACACAGGCTCCCTGGACACAGCAGCAAGACCAATGGTTTGATGGAGAAACAGGAAAAAGATTTGCTCAAATGGCTATCCCTGGGGAATGGGATGGCACAGGAGGGGAAGGCAAGGGTACGGTTCACGGTTCATGCTGTGCACGGTTGGATGCCGTTCAGCGCACGCGCACCGTTCTTGTGTGTCAAGGGCTGAAACAGAGGTGTAGCTTACCCTGGTGAAGGGCCGTGGCAGGCAGGCAGGCAGGCTTTCTCTGGGCTTATAGGGAACCCCCTGCAGAATCAAGGGAGGCCCCCAAAGCCTCGACATCAACAGGGCTATGTGCCCGGGCTGGGCTGATGGGCTCAGGAGGGCACAATTTGGGGTGCACAGTGTCTGCAGGGCTACCCAGCCAGGCAGAGCTGGGTCTGGGGTGGGCTTCAGAGAGGCTGAGGCCGAGCTTTGGTGTCTGCTCACTGCTGTCACTCCAGCGCCTCGCCCACTGCCTAGTGCCTAGTGCCCGGTGCGTCTGCCAGGCATGAGACACACATGGGGCAGATGAACGAGTCAGCTGGCACGCTTGGGTTAGACAGCACTTCTCAACCTGAAGGTCGCAACCCCTTTGGGGGTCGAACGACCCTTCACAGGGGTCGCCCGATTCATCACAGTAGCAAAATGACAGTGATGAAGTAGCAACAAAAATAATGTTATGGTTGGGGGGTGGTCACCACAACATGAGGAACTGTCTTAAAGGGTCATGACATTAGGAAGGTTGAGAACCACTGGGTTAGGACTTCCAGCTCTGCCTCTGGAGTTGTCCATTGCCCAAGGGGGACAGGGATGAAGGCCTGCCATGTGGAGGGAGAGAAGTATCCTCACGGAGCCTGCTGGAAACCAGGCAGCTGGACACAGGCAGGGGTCAAAACACATCTTCCTCCTATGGCCTGAAAACCACCAGAAACCAAACCGCTGGTCCTGGAGTGAATCCGCACTTGTTGTGACCCTGGAGGCTGGAGCAGAACTGCTGCGGGGGGTTTCTCTGATGGCAGCCCCATCTTTCAGGGGATCGAAACCTCCCACCTTTAGCATGGCAGCCAAGTGCTTTAACCGCAGCGCCACCAGGATCCTTCCTCCTGGCCCCACATCTTGATAATGATACACGAGCTGTCTATTGGGCTGGCCCTCCCTGGCTACCTCTGTGCTGATGAAGTCCCACAGCGTTGCAACCGTGGGCGCTGAGGTACCAATTGGGAGGCAGGGACAGGAAGGGACGGGCCGTGGTACACAGGCTCACTCTGGGGAGGAGTCAATTCCACGGCACCTAACACAGCAACTGTGTTCTGTAAGGAGGCCTGTGGCACCCTGGACTGAGCACTGGGCTGTCAGCTGAAAGGTTGATGGTTCCAATCCACCAAGTGCTCTGTGGGAGAAAGATGAGGCTGTCTGCGCCCATAACGAGTTTCAGCCGCCAGGGCAGTTCTACGCTGTCTTATAGGGTGCCTGCGAGTTGGAATCAACGCGGTGGGGGTGGGCTGATGTGTCTGTAACGGGGACAGTCAAGAACATCCTCTGGGGAAGGCCCACTCACTGGCCACCGAAGCACAGCAGCAAGTGCAAGAGTCTGTGGTTGCTGCCAACAGTCATGGGCTGGCTGCCAACTCGAAGGTTAAACGTTCCAGGTTGACACAGAGGCACCTTAGAAGAAAGGCCTGAGGGCTGACTTCCTAACACTCAGCCCTCCGACCCTCCCCCACTGTGGAGCACAGATCCATGGTGACACACGTGGGCTGGGGGACCTCTGGGACAGACCCCCGAGTTTTGTTTTCAGACTGGGAACCGGGCAGAGATGCCTCACTGGGAGCCCTGGTGGAAGCAGAGACAGGCAATCCCCCGGGCCCACCGCCTGGTAAATCTGGTAAATCGTTTTAACTTTCCACGCGCCTCCATCTAATTCCTTTAACTTTGCAAATGACCTTGCCATGGCCTGCTAATCCCTTTAAGGTTACAAATGGGCCCCCCCCCCCCCCCCAGAAGGGAGAATGGGTGCAGTCAGAATTCCGGGTAATGAAGTGTTTGAACTTGGCTCCCACCCGACCTGGGCAGCACAATGAGATGATTTTCCCCCCTAATGCGATTAGGAAATTGTATTAGTGCCCCAGCTGCTGCTGCGAGCCGAGCCCAAGGGGCTGAGGCTCTGGAGGGGCAGGGAGCTCGGTGGGGTGTGGAGTTCCTAAGGGGCCATGTACCCCCCACTTGAGGGATGGGGCTTTCAGGGGCAATGGCTATCTCTTGCTGACCCCGCCCCCTGCGCCATCCCTAGAACCCATCCTCCATCCTCCATTTCCTGTTCCAAAGGAGATGAGCACCCCCTCCCCGCTCCATACTTTGCAGCATACTCCGAGTCTTAACTTCTTCCCGCAGACTAGTAAAAGTATGGAGAATAACAATCATGCCTGGAATGTGAGCCAAGCCCTGCTCTGGGCCCTGGACCTATGTTAACCCCTCGGTCCTCTCCACAAGTTTCACAGAGAGTGACACCCCAGGCAGAGAGTCCTTGAAAGACCGGACCAGCATCTGTGTGTGAGGGATCACAGTACTGCACATCCTACTGAGTCCCGGTTCCTGGCACCAAACCCACGGATCCGGGGTCGGACTTCCACTACGGACAAAAGGATGCCTGAATGGACGGGCAGAAGGACAGGTGTTCTTAAGGAGACGGCACCTGCAGGAGCCTCCAGTATGTCCAAGGAGGAGCACGCTGTGCCCAGGGGCCTCTGTGAGCATCTGAACCAGCCAGACTTGCTATGAACAACTGGGCGTGGCACCATGGGCAACATCCAGGGACTGAGGGGCCAGGAGACTGGCCAGCCGGCACCATGCCCCATGGCAAGGAAGTGCAGGTGTCTGGGCTGGAACGAAGCTGGCAATCGGTCTGTGCATCCTCTCTCTGGTCCTACCAGCCCCCTTCTTGGTCATGTTCCCCCAGCTCTGTGTTGGCTTCCTCAGCATCATATCTGTCCCACCACCTCCCTGCAGGGGGCCCGAGAGTCTGAGCCATCCAGTCGGCCTTGTCCTGGGCAGGCTGCCCTGGACACGCTGAGGGAGCAGGGGGCAGGAGGGACACCAAATGGTTGGCTGGCCAGTCATTGGCCTGTCACCTGATTGCCAACAGAATGAATGCTTCCCTTCCATGACCTTTCTGACAATGACCCCACCTCCACTACTTCCCTCTGCTCCCTCTGCTCTGGCCACACCACCCCTCTGACATCTCCTCCCACCATGGGCCCCTGACCCTCTGCCTCAGGGCCTTTGCACCAGCTGTTCATATTCACTGTCACAGAGTTGATTCCAGGTTTCCAAGATAGTCACTATGGGACCAGACAGGCTCATCTTTCTCCCTCAGAGCAGCTGGTGGTTTAGAACTGCTGACCTTGCGTTAGCGGCCCAACGCATAACCCACTAGGCCACCAAGGCTCCTTTGCATTAGACCCTCCTGTAGAAAACAGGCTTCCTCCAAATGACTGTCAAAGCAACGTCATGATGACACTCTGAAGACATCAGCATCCACCCTTACATGCCCAGGTCTGCCCCGAGGGCTTCACCTGCCGGAACTGTTTCCAAGGATCCTGGAGAGACCTGGGTCACAGCAAAGTGTCAAAATGTGCCCCCAGGTGTGAGCTGGGACCCAAACCCAGTTGGTTTTCAGAGCCTGGGTACTGACCACTCCTCTATCCCCCTCAGCTTTAGCAAGTAGCCTGGCTCTGCCCAGATCTCCTGCAGGCCTAGGCTGGGCTGGCCCGCCCACCTCGCACATGGTGGCCTGGGCTTATGCTGATGATTTACAAGTTGGTAACATACTAAACTATTTCCAACTTGGTGAGTAATTTGTCCCCAAACCAAGCTACTGCCATTGAGTCAGTGCCAACCCACAGAGGCACTATAGTAGAGGACAAGGCAGAAACTGCTCATAGGACTCCCAAGGCCGTGCAGCACCCAGCAGACTGCCACACCTGTCTCCACTGAGCCACTGGCAGATTTGAACCGCCCATCTTGTGGTTAGCGGGGGTGGGGCACATCCAGCCTTAGGGCCGGATAAAATTAAAAACCAAACTCACTGCATTGAGTCTGTTCTGATTCATAGTGGTGACCCTATCGGGCAGGGTAAGAACTGCCCCTGTGGGTTTCCCCAGGCTGCCACTCTTCATGGGAGTAGAAACCTTTGTATTTCTCCTGGGGAGAAATGTATTTCTCCTGGTTTACAACTGCTCACCGTGTGGTTAGCAGCGTGACCACTATGCCACCAGGGCCCTCGGGCCAAGAAAGACATCCAAAATCATCCATACCAGCTAACATCACATGCCTCACCAAAGAGAGGCTGCTCTAACCATCACATTAGGGGTGAGTTAATGAAATGTTTGACTCCTATAGCCTGCGAATGATGTGATAATGCCCCTCAGCAGAAAGTAGATCCCACCCCTGCTCCCTAACCAGGCTGGCCTTTGTCCCAGGATGCTGGCCCTGAATTGTCCACAATCCAGCCACTCAAAGCCCCCAAACAAAAACCTTACTGCCATTGAGTCAATTATCTCACAGAGACCCCAAAAGACAGAGTAGAGCTGCCCCCGTGGGTTTCCTAGACAGTATCTCTTCCCTGCAGCAGAAAGCCTCATCTTTCTCCCAAAGTGCAGCTTGGTGGGTTCGAACTGCTGATCTTGTCCAACTGCTCAACACATAACCACCAAGACCCCTGATCCTGCAACTAGCCAGGGATAGCACACCAGGGTGGCCCACAGCACCGCCTCGTCTGTGCCTCCTTGCGGTGGATCCTGACAGGACAGTAGAACCGCCCTACATGGTTTCCTAGGCTGTTGTCTTCACAGGGGTCGATCAG